AGAAGAGTCAACAAGACGCTTGTCTGGGATTAGCGGCTCATAAAGTGTAACTCCCAATGCTGCATCAACTGCATACACAACATTGCCTATCCGGGATTTTCTTTTAAAAAAAGACCCTGGTTAAGAATTACAACACTTGGATTGGATTCCATGGAAGTAGATGGCTAAGTATTTAAAAATACATTTATAGTTCCATATATTGCAGTCCAACATGTGGCCTCCCTCTCTCCCCTCCCACCTTATTGGCTGTCTTTCTTCACATTAACCTCCCCCCGCTTTTAAAATTTTTTATTCTCATTACTAGCAGCGAGTGGATTTTGTCCAGTCTGAAAGCAACACATTATTTCACTTGGGAGTGATCCCCTTTCCTGTTCTAACTGATGAAAGAAACCTAACAGCACAGCTTGCAATCCTTGTTAGTGGAAAGGGAGCCCAGTAGCACCTTAATGACTAACACAATTTGTGGCAGGACATGCGCTTTCAGGAGCCACTGCTCACTTCTTCAGATACAGCTAGACTGTGAGTCCATTGGTCCTTATATTTTGGAGAGTGAAGTGATTTCAGATGCCAAATAACAATGACAGCTATTGGTAATGACAGAAGAAAGCTAGGTCTCAATTCAGCCCAGGAGGATGCATTGAGTTTCACTATTCGTTGCAATTCATCAGTCTCTCTAATCTTTCTTTGAAAGGCAACCTTGATTCTGGGGCATCTCCCCTACATAAGATCCTCCAAGGAAAGGTAACAGTAATCATTAGCTCTCCAGGGCTATTTTTGTAGAAAAAGCCCAGCAGGAACTCATTAGCATATTAGGCCACACCCGACAGCACCGCTCATTAGCACATTAGGCCGCACCCCCATGTTACCAGAAGTGTGGTCATCCATCCACACCCACCATTCCCTTCTTATTCTGTTTACCTTGTTTGTTGTCCAAACCCAGGGCTTTTTTGTAGCAGGAACTCCTTTGAATGTTAGGCCACACACCCCTAACGTAGCCAATCCTAATGAGTTCCTGCTGTTGGGTGTGGCCTATTATGCTAATGAGTTCCTGCTGGGTGTGGCCAACTCAGGAGCCAGCCAGAACTCCGTTCCTGTGCGTTCCTGCCCAAAAATAGCCCTGGCTCTTCCTGTTGCCACTTCTCTTTAATCCTCTCATGAGTTTTGCGTGCTGCATAAGCATATAGGGGTCTGAAATATTTGCCTTTACTGTAGGCATTCTAATATTTACTGATCAGAATATAGAACACATTCTAATCAGAGTAATATTAAGCATGTCAGCAATAAAACAGTGTGAATATATATTTTTAAACATTTGAATAATCAGTGCTCCGCTTAAGACTTGCAGGCAATCCAGAATATTGGAGTAGAAGAAAAACACAGTTGGCCAGTAAAAAATCCCAGGCTAGAAAGCCAGTAAAATAAAACAGAGTCTACTGGCACATTAGCATTAAATGCTATGCTGGGAATTATTAGGAAGAGGATCAGCCAGTAATACCCCTGTATAAATCTATGGTGCGGCCTCATTTGAAATATTGTGTACAGTTCTAGTCACCGCACCTCAAAAAAGATATCATAGCATTGGAAAAGGCGCAAAAAAGGGCAACTAAAATGATTAAGCGGATGGAACACCTTCCCTATGAAGAAAGGTTAAAGAGGTTAGGGCTCTTCAGCTTGGAGAAATTAAGATTGAGGGGTGACATGGTGGAGGTTTACAGAAAGAGATCTTGGAGTCATGGTAGATACCTCCCTGAAAACGTTGACTAATGTACAACTGCAATAAAAAAGGGTAAAGGCTATGCTGGGAATTATTAGGAAGGGGATCAGCCAGTAATACCCCCTGTATAAATCGATGGTGCGGCCTCATTTGAAATATTGTGTACAGTTCTAGTCACCGCACCTCAAAAAATATATCATAGCATTGGAAAAGGCGCAAAAAAGGGCAACTAAAATGATTAAGCGGATGGAACACCTTCCCTATGAAGAAAGGTTAAAGAGGTTAGGGCTCTTCAGCTTGGAGAAATTAAGATTGAGGGGTGACATGGTGGAGGTTTACACAATTATGCATGGGACAAAGAAGGTAGAAAAAGAAGGACTTTTCTCCCTTTCTCACAATACAAGAACTCGTGGGCACTCAATGAAATTAATAAGCAGTAGGTTTGGAACAGATAAAAGTACTTCTTCATCCAAAGAGTAATTAAAATACGTGGAATTCACTGCTGTAGGAAGTGGCAGCGGCTACAAGCATACAGAGCTTCAAGAGGGGCTTGGACAATCATATGGAGCAGAGGTTCATCTGCGGCTATTAACCACGAAGTATAGAGGGAGCTCCCGTCTCTAGTTCCAGCTCCTGCCAACCTAGCAGTTCGAAAGCAAGAAATTGCAAGTAGATAAATAGGGACCACTTTGGTGGGAAGGGAACAGCATTCCGTGCGCCTTGGTGTTTAGTCATGCCGGACACATGACCATGGAAACGTCTTCAGACAGCGCTGGCTCTTCGGCTTTGAAACGGAGACGAGCACCGCAACCCTAGAGTCGGATTCGACTGGCTTTCGAGCAAGGGAACCTTTACCTTTATAGAGGGAACACTATGTCTGGGGCAGTGATGCTCTGTATTCTTGGTGCTTGGGGATGGGTGGGAACTGTGGGAGGGCCCCTGAAGTTCTGCCACTGTTGGTGGACCTCCTGACAGCACCTAGGTTTTGGGCGCTGTTTGACACAGAATGTTGGACTGGAGAGGCCACTGGCCTGATCCAGCATACCTTCTCTTCTGTTCTTATGTTCAGTATCCTATGTTAACATGTTTCTACCCCACCTTTCCCCAGAGCTCAATACAACTTGTCTTGACCTGGATAGCCCGGGCTAGCCCAGTCTTAGAAGCTAAGCAGGGTCGGCCCTGGTTAGTACTTGGATGGGAGACCGTCAAGGAAGTCCAGGGTGGCTACACAGAGGCAAGCAATGGCAAACCATCTCTGTTAGTCTCTTGCCTTGAAAACTGTTTAGTGGGACTATAAGTGGGCTGTGACTTGCTGGCACTTGCCTCCACCACCAGTGCAATGTGGGCTGTGGAGGCTGATCACCAGCAACCTGGACTTGGAAACCAACTAGCAGGCCTTGTAGCAGTTTCAAAATAGGGAAGATAACAGTTCATTAAAGGTAAAGGTTCCCTTGCTCGAAAGCCGGTCGAATCCAACTCTAGGGTTGCGGTGCTCATCTCCGTTTCAAAGATGAAGAGCCAGCGCTGTCCGAAGATATTTCCGTGGCCATGTGGCCGGCATGACTAAACACCAAGGTGCACGGAACGCTGTTACCTTCCCACTGAAGCGGTACCTATTTATCTACTTGCAATTTCTTGCTTTCGAACTGCTAGGTTGGCAGGAGCTGGGACCAGAGACGGGAGCTCACTCCGTCATGCGGCACACTCGGGTCTCGAACTGCTGAACTACCGACCTTCCACAGCCTGCAGTTCAGCGTCTTAACCACTTGAGCCACGGCAGCTCCGTAACAGTTCATTAGGCTGTCATATTCTGAAGCAATGGTGGTTTGAGTGGTCTTCTAGGGCACCCCATAAATCCAACACAAGTTTACAAAAACATGAACGAACATCGCCAGATCAGCTGAGTCTAAGAAAGGGGACTGCCCCATGTGTCTTTCCCGCCAATGACATACATTTATCTGTCACTGGAAATTCTGAGGGTTTTTTTTCCCACAAGCCTCCTCTCATCTCCCCCATTGGAGTGTGAATAGACACACATGAAGCTACCTTATACTGAATCAGACCATTGGCCCATCAATGTCACCATTGTCTATTCAAGACTAGGAGCGGCTCTCCTGGGTCTCAGGCAGAGGTCTTTCACATTGCTTAAGGGAGCGGTGGCGCATGGCGTTAAAAAGCCTGCAGGTTAATCTAGCCGAACTGCCAATGGCAGTTCGAGTCCCACCGCGGCCGGGGTGAGCTCCCGGCCCTTTGTCCCAGCTCCCGCTCACCCAGCGATCCGAAAGCCTGTATGGGCAAGTAGATAAATGGGTACCTGCTCCTTACGAGCGGGGGGCACCTTTCCTCCGTGATCGGTGTTAAAAGGCAGCGGCAATGGTGTTGAATCGATGACGATAAGGTGAAGGCGGCAAGCGATGAGCCCGAGTACGGAGACCAGTGCCTGGAGAACATGACGTGCAACAAAGACTGGAGCCGATTGGACAAAGAGTCGAGCTGCCTCGTTCGTGTTCTGTGGGGGCCATCTGCTGGAAAAAGAGCCACTACTGCAGAGAATCCGTACTTCAACACTGGACATCTGCGCCCTTGAGGAAAAAGAACCACCATCGAATCCACCGCTGAATTCAAGAAAGACCCTGCTGTTAGGTGCCTAGTTAGGAAAAATACCCTCCCCTCACCATTGTACCCCTAGCTTAGATAAAATTGTGTCTGTAAACCGCTCTGAGCCTCACGGATAGGGCGGTATATAAATCGCAAATGTAATGTAATGTAATGTAATATCAGGGGTTGAACCCAGGATCGTATGCTAAGCAGAATGCTCCATCACTGAGCTTCAAACGGAAGGTGACATTCCAGATGTAGATCTTTCCTGCCTCACCCACCAATGTCCTGAGATGGGGTTCTTGGGATCTGGGAAAACAACAGAAAAGACACACGTGCACAAGCTATCCTTGTTAGGGGAAAGTGTTCCAGGAAGCATGGAAGTGTGCTAATTTTAAAATCAGATGTCTTCTCTAAACAAACCCCAAAACGACATTTTTATCTTCAAAAGCTTTAATGTGAAACAAATACTCATAATTAACAGTCTATTTACAAGAGCAATGGTTATGTTATAAAGTTTAAAATCAGATTTACTCTTGATTTCCCCCCCCCTGCAAACGAAGTAGCTCTTTACAATAAGGAAACTGAATTTTGCATCAGTCCAGAAGACTGATTATTAAAATAATAGAGTGGAAAGATTTTTTAAAAATCACTGTGAGAGCAAGGAAAGCATGCCTCTTCATCCACTTCATCCATAAGAACTCAAATTGTTCTGCAATGTCTTTTGCAGTCTTGCTATGTTAGCATCCAAGGCTGCAAGACCATTTTTAAAGTCCTCTTCATCCTGAGAAGTGAACGTTGAAAAGGAAGATATAGTCCATTCTGATTTTTTTGACAAGCAATCAAATGTCGAAAAACTTGAGTCAGGAGCAGAAATTCCAAGGCCTTTTTTCTGCACATTTTCTTTGCAATGTGAAATGGGAGTATAAAAGAATTTATCAGGCTGACGTCTCCCTGGATTATCCAAAATCTCTTTAGCAGCTCCGTTTGTTATTTCTCTTGGCTGCGTTTGAGGCCTCTTGCCTTCCAGCTTTGCTGTCCTCCCCATATTTTCAGATTTATTTTCCACAGCCTTTTTTAGAGTGCAGCTACTGCTGAATTTATCGAGGACTTTTGCCTTGCCCGGCACCCCAGACCTGCTTGACCATTTAGAATCAGCCAATCCAAAATCAGGGTCAAGGTTTTTCGGCTCTCGGAGAGACATGCCACATCTTTCAGGTGCTGCCGCCAATCTCTTTGACGGACTGCTAGTCAAGGGGATGTAAATCGTCTCATCCAGCTTGTCTTCTCCCACTAGAGTGCTCAAATCACTGGCTGTCTCCATATCAGCCTTGAGACAGGTGAAAGTGTTTGTTGGTGCCAGTACCACTTGTGCCCCAGGAGGAGACTTTTGAGGAGAGCGTTCAGCTGCCTGGTCATCCATTTGATCTGCTTCTTTCGTCTCGCCTTTTGAGAGGGGCTCTGCATTTACCTGAACGGGATCAGTCTCGACGTTTTGGAGGTAGCTCATTATGGAAGCACTGAGAGGGTACGTGTCAGGCTGCAGCTGTTTTTCATGGATTTCCAGGAGAGCTTTAGACAGGCTCTTTCCTAGTTTTGGTTTAGTGTCCATGGTGAGGTCTGACAGAAGCTTGGACATGCTGCCCTGCAGAGCCCTATTAAGTAAAATCAAACAGTGCGTTATTAGGAGTGCAAGTGTGGCAAACCCAAGATCACACATCTCAGATTGTTATAGGCTCTTATAGACAACAATTCTGAGGCATCTGTTCACTTTCTACTACATGGGACACAATGCTACTATTTAGTCATGAATATGCTGACCTGAAAGGAAATGAAAATAGGGCTAAAAATTAAAGTTAACAGGTCACTGAGAGATATACCTATATAAAAAAGGTAAAGGTAAAGGTTCCCTTGCTCGAAAGCCAGTTGAATCCGACTCTAGGGTTGCGGTGCTCATCTCCATTTCAAAGCCGAAGAGCCAGCGCTGTCCAAAGACGTTTCCGTGGTCATGTGGCCGGCATGACTAAACACCAAGGCGCACGGAACGCTGTTCCCTTCCCACCGAAGTGGTCCCTATTTATCTACTTGCAATTTCTTGCTTTCGAACTGCCAGGTTGGCAGGAGCTGGAACTAGAGACGGGAGCTCACTCCGTCACGCGGCACCCGGGTCTCGAACTGCTGAACTACCGACCTTCCACAGCCTGCAGTTCAGCGTCTTAACCACTTGAGCCACCGCAGCTCCCCATACCTATAAAACTGCTCCCCAAATAACCACTTGATGGGGGTAGTTTACCTTTTAATGAAGTGATCAGAAACACAGTCGCAAGCAACTTTTTACATTAAAGAGAAGCCATTGGGGAAATCATCAATTTCTTTTGGATTTCCTGCTCCCAGCATTTTCTCTATCACACCTCAGCATGACGAAGCCTTCCCCTTTTTTCTAAGGAGAGCTGGTCTAAACAGGGTCAGGTCACTGGTAGGGAGGTTGCTGATCAGGTGGGAAAGACCCATGTTACTGGCCTTGCCTATCTGGGTGCAGTATCCTCTCTGTTACATACGCACACATGCACTCATACCTTACGTGGGATAAATGTTTGTGTGTACAAGAGAGAAGAAAGAAATCCAAGAAACAAGCACACAGCATGTTACGATGTAAATACCGCAGTGGGCTTGGCTGGCACTGGTTCCCCCTGGTTTTATAGGACAAAGCAAACTGGCTACAATTTGCAACACAGTTAAGGGAGGAATAATACTGCAGTGGGCTTGGCCGGCAGCGGTTCCCCCTGGTTTTATAGGACAAAGCAAACTGGCTACAATTGGCAACACAGTTAAGGGAAGAATAACAACTCTTCCTTACCAAAACTGAGGGATGGCCTCCTTTGAGGGAAATCCCACAGAGTAGTGCAGTGCAGTGCAGTGTGTTTTGGCAGAGAGACGTTAACGCCCCCCCCTCCCCCAGGTATCTCTACAGCTGTAGGGACCCTTGCATCAAATGTCATTACGACTGGGATTTTTAAATGGGATATGCTAGAATTGATTCGGTGGTTACTTATGCAGAAGCCTTCTTCCACATGTGATAAGCCTCTGACTTGATCAGCTGACCAACTCGGGTTTAATGACCTTCACAGACCCTGTTGACTGCAACGGTTCATGTCTGGTTTCCAGGAAAAACCAAATTTTCAATTCAGTACATGAATCACTACTGCCCTCTGTTGGCCAAGCACTACAGTCACAGGAGGAGAGTTCATACACATTTCGCATAGTTACAGAAACCAAGTCTGAAGAGCAAACTGCTTTCGCCTACCCCAAGTAGTAAAATAGGGCAGAAACTGGTTTCTACTGCAGTATGTTTCCGTGCTCCTGGAGAAAGGGAAACGTTACCTTGTCAATTCACGTAGTCTGTTCACTTCTGCATCTCGCTGACGCAAAGTGATACCCAAGATCCGGTTCTCTTTCTCAGCTGCTTCTAACTTATACTGGAAACTCTTCATGTGGGCCAGCATCTCATCTGCTTCTAAAATAGATATATTGGCAAAATGTAATGCGTTTAACTTTCATGTTACAAGCACCTTCAAACAAAGCCTGCAGCCACAGGGCACGCACCCAGTTTGAGCTTTGTTGATTCAATATCATTCTGTCGCTTCTTTTCAAGCAGTTCTTGCTCTCTCTCGTGGATTATTCTAGTTAATCTTCTCTCTTCTTCTCTTTGGCTTTCTAAGGTTTTAATTAGTTCTTCGTTTTTATTTTGCAGTAACTCAGTGCTTTTCACGGATTCATTCAACTGACTCTGCAGTGTCCTGTTCAAGGACTGAAGGGAGAGGACTATGGAACAGTAACAAAAAACACAAAACAACTGAATCAATATTTATAATTACCCAGACAGAAATGGCACAATATCCTTGTAACGCCCAGCACTGATTATTGCAACACATTCACCACATGGTTGCCACTGAAGGCCCTTCTAGCCAGGTCACATAATATAGCAATCCAGCTTCCTTAAGGAACATAAAGCAGCCATTCTACATTACATACAGAACCTACCCAGTTTCCTTCTAGAGCCAATCCAAAATGCCGATTTTGGCTACCATAACTAAGAGCTTGGTTAGCAAACAGCTGCAATTGTAGAGATGCTGCTGGCTTACCACATGTACTGCCTGCTTCATGCTAACCTCATATGAACATGCGTGAAGAAATTCAGTAGCACAAACTGCTTTAATGAATTAAAGGGTGTTACAGGATTAAACCCACTCAGCCCAGTCCAGGGATGAGAGGGAACTCTATATTTCAGCACAGGAAACAAAATCCACGAGACAGTCTGTACCCTCTCTAGGATTCACAACAGTTTGCCACCAGAATCTCTTCAAAGGGGTCCGTACCCAGCCTAAGAGTAGAGATTCAATCTCTTAGCTGGCATCTGGGACTTAACACATCAGCAACTCTAACTCAGAGGTGCACACAATTACTCTCACAATGGTAGCTCTGTGTGGTCAGCGCCTAGACACGAGATTTAGCCCTGGAGTTTAAGGAATGTGGGTATCTGGCATGATTATATGGCATGGCTATTTGGTGGTTCAGCCATCTGGTCAAGTGACAGAAATCCCACTAGGCCATCTGGCCTGCAACAGGAAAAAGACACACAAAACGTCATCACAGGAAGAAGGCATGAGAGTTTAGAAACAATATTTCTATACAAAGGGATAAGAGAAACCTTGCAATCAATTCCCACAGAGAAGCTAAAATGTAACTTCCGTCATAAGAAACTATCTGCATATTATATGCTATACTGCCATTACTTGATGTGACGTTAAGAGTTAGGAGACGGGACTAGCAGTGCTGAAAAGTGGTGGCCAATTCTTTAATTTCAGCATGGAGGGGGGCAAGGCTGCACTGAACCATCAGAAACAAATCACAATGCATTGTATTGTGAACAAATCTGAAATCCTTGGTTTGGGTGCTTTAAGAAGTTTGTGTTTGATTTATGCTGACAGCCAAGAATTTTAAGCCAGGATTAAAGAGTGTTTTAGAATCCAGATTTGTGTACCAACAAATAAATCCTAGTTTGTTGACATGTCCAAACTTGGGCATCAAAATAAACTGATTAAGTCAAACACTTTCTAAACCAAGTATTCAGTCTTGATTCTATATGTAAGGAAAGAGGGACAGAGAGAGTGAACCCAAGGATTTCAGACTTGCTCAAGAAGTCTGAGAACAGCCCAACAGAGGAAGCTAGCCATTCCATTTTCTATGCTCCAGGCACAGAAATACACCCCAGATATATGTAAGGCATGGTGGCAATACAGCTAGATACAAATTAGGCAACTGAACCTTTACAAGGTCTATAATGAAGAATGCATAGCATATTAACAAAGCACCACAGATTAAGAATGTCCAGCATGGGGAGAAGATGTTATGAGTACAATGCATACCAGCATAGGCCACATTCATGGAGAATCTTCATGATCATCATAAACTTTATTGCATTAGCTCATGGCCATAGCAAATAGCACCAAGAACAGTGTCAAGAAAAAATACAATACAGTAATTAAAATACCAATGAATACCATTGAAAATTTATAGCAACCATTGAAATCACGTGAACAGTTTAAACTTGAACAACGAATCAATCAGTAACAGTAGATGGTTTTGATGAAAGCTTTATCACCCTTGGCGATAAATTTTGCCATTTGTGAAGTTACCCATTTACTTTTATCAGCAAGCAGTACAATTAGTCTATTGTTGTCTGCTCTCCCTGGGTGTTGTGATAAAGTATTCCCAAGATATCGTTCGCATTCTAGTGCGAATCTTGGGCAGTGGAAAACCACATGGCCTAAATCCTCGATAGCTTTTTGATCGCAGGGGCAGACACGTTCGTTATATGGAATCCTGTTATAGCTGACTCTTAGCCAAGAGTCTTCTACAAAAAAAGCCCAGCAGGAACTCATTAGCATAATAGGCTACACCCAACAGCAGAAACTCATTAGCATATTAGGCCACACCCCCATGTTACCAGAAGTGTGCTCATCCAGCCACACCCACCTTCCCCTTTTTATTCTATTTACCTTGTTTGCTGTCCAAACCCAGGGCTTTTTTGTAGCAGGAACTCCTTTGCATGTTAGGCCACACACCCCTAATGTAGCCAATCCTAATGAGTTTCTGCTGTTGGGTGTGGCCTAATGCTAATGCGTTCCTGCTGGGCGTGGCCAACTTGGAAGCCAGCCGGAAGTCCGTTCCTGTGCGTTCCTGCCCAAAAATAGCCCTGCAGCATTGCCAGTTGTAAAATATCCAATGGTGCTTTAGTGAATGCTTTCCTACACTCAAAATTTGATAGATTAAAGTAATATGGGAGGGTAAAGGAGAAGGTACGAGTTGCTTATAAAGGGGAGCTATTCTCAGGGTATCTAGCAGTATAGCACCCATATGAGCATTTATATCCAGTAGTCTGTTTTATTGATTGTTTTGCTGCGGATAAACCAAGCCCTCTTAAATAGTCTTCTGAAAATCCAAGTTTGGCCACTAAACTTAATATGTGGCCTTGCCATGTGTTGGCTTTCTCTTCTTCATAGGCCAAGGTTAAAAAACTTGAGCTTAAACCAAACAGGATTTCCAGCCAAAAATTAATGGCAGCCTTGTGGACAGAGGTCAATATTGGCAGCAGGGCCAACTCGAATCTAGCTATAACTGCTCATGTAGAATTGAGGATATGGGTAAACTTATTCTGGATTATTTCCAGTGATCATAAATTTCCAGACCCCCAAATTGGGGCTCCATATAGCATCTGTGGCAATACCTTGTGCCACGACTACTTCTCTTTTAATTTGTGGGTAGATATGATGTGTTTTTAAATTTCTTGTTTCTCTCACTGACGGCATGTAATGTCGCCACCAGGAATTTAATTCCTTCGTTGGACTATGTGGTCCTGAAGATGAGACTGTCGTATAGTAACAGCATATAACTCTAGGTTTTCGTAAAACAAAATAAAACTTTATTTGTACAAGAGGCGTGTTGGTTTCAATATGTTTTGCAATCTCTCTCTTCAATGAATAAAACAGCGTATGTAAATATCTTTTTTTGCCCAGCTTATCTATGGATAGCCCCAACTAATATTACTTCAAACATCAGGAAACTGGACACGGTTCAATCTAAATTTTTGAGAACAATTTTAAAAGTGCCGAATGGTGTCCCTAACGCTTGTACGCATCTGGGATTGGGTATGATAATGGTGAAGGCGAGGGCTATGGTTAGCGGTGATTCTGTACTGGTTAAAATTGGTATTCTTTCACAGGGGGTTGGCAAAGTTAATATTTCTAGATTCTTCTGCTCCTCCATGGATAAGGGCACTGGAAACGAAATTACCTTTTTACAGGTTTTCCAAGCAATTTCTGCGCTCTCTGAATTATGATAAAGCCAAGGCTTTGGTCAAACAGAGGGTAAATGATACTGCAAGGCAAGATGATTCGAATAGAATAGGGAGACTCTGTCTAGAACCTATTATGAGGGCAACCCCTATGCCTTGCCTTTCCCACCTATTAAATCAAGAGTATAGGAGAGTGTGCACACTACTGCGCGGTGACACACTTCCCTCAGCTGTCCTTGAAGGAAAGTATAAAAAGATTCCCTATGAAGAAAGGATTCGCCCCTCTTGTAATGAAGGCATAGAATTGCTAGACCACATCCTGTTTGATTGCAAGGCATATAACAATTTCCATGAATCTCTTCCTCTGCCTGTTTCATTACCTTTAAACGTCAGACAGAAATGGTACCTTCTAAGGTTCTTTCTTTCAGATAGACATCATAATGTTACTTACCAGGTGGCTAGATTTAGCTGGCTCGCTGCAAGGCATAGGAAAACTGTAATAGCGCATGTAGTGGATTACTGAGATTTTAAACTTTCTAGTAGACATTGGAACATTTTACTGTATTTTGAATGATTTCATTGTTGAGATATTCCTCAAACTGTATTGTGAATGATTTTATTATTGCTGTACTGCCCCAATGGCGGAGCTGCGGTGGCTCAAGTGGTTAAGACGCTGAACTGCAGGCTGTGGAAGGTCAGTAGTTCAGCGGTTCAAGACCCGGGTGCCGCAAGACAGGGTGAGCTCCCGTCTCTAGTTCCAGCTCCTGCCAACCTAGCAGTTCGAAAGCAAGAAATTGCAAGTAGATAAATAGGGACCACTTCAAAAAGTCTTCATTCAATAGAAAAAGCACCACCTCCACTGTTGAAGCTCAATAACCATCTCAGAATATTGACTTCTCAAATGTCCTCCTTTCAAATGCTGGAGTCCAAGTAGATAAACTGGGATCAAAGCATTTAAAAATAAATATATTGGAGTCTCGCTTGACACTTACATTCAACGTCGCCATCCAGATCGCATTCTTTTTCAGCTCTCTTTTTTTCTTTGAGCTGCTGGTTCAAAATCCTTAGTTGCCTACATGTGAGTTAGGAAAAGAAGAAAAATAATTCTTAAATGCGAACCTACATCTAATTGTAATTTAGAAAAAAGTTTAAAAACTTTCTCCCCCCTCACTTTTGACTCTGATTTTCATTTTGTCTTTGTCTATCCCGCAATAACTCTTTTGTGCTGTTGCGCATACACAGCAATGTTTATAACAACTAACTCGTGTATACTAACCAATCCTGACTGAAATACAAAGTGCCACATTCACCCAGTTGCCGTGAACAACTTCCAGTCCAGTTGGATGTTATCAGTATTGATCTGATCCAAGTCAACAGAAAGAATTAGTTATGTGTCATTTGAACACCAGTGTTTGTTACTTGGTTATGTCATATCTACGAACAGTGATTTATTGCCTATTACTGTTAATAACTAATTTGCATAGAATTGGTCTATGTGGCAGACAAAATGCCACCTGGCCAGCAGGTTCATAACTAGGCAAAGTGTAACAAACAACGCTCAGCATACTCAATTCTCTTGGTTCAGGTGAATGGTAACTGGATTTATCTTACATGCTTTTCAGTTCTGCACGTACCGAGTTTCATAGTTTCTTTCCCACTGCCTATTAGGTATGTACACGGAAAAAAATGTTCAGCATTATTCAGATTTGGGAGTTTGGGGGCCGAATATCCCCAAATACTAATATCAGTATTGTGTTCATATTCAGGAGATATTTGGGATTCCCAAATGTATTCGGTTCCATAATACCCTACGGGGTCACTGAGGTCAATGGCAAATCTCATAGAGTATATTCAGAGGCCCGGCCGGGGTGTGTGTGTGTGTGTGAGGTAGAGGCTCCAAATTTGCAGTGTACCTATTGGAGCCTCTCCTTAAAAGAACCCCCAAGTTTGGAAAAGTTTGGACCAGGGTGTCCAATTCTACGGGCACCCAAAGAGGGTGCCCCCCATCCTCCACTGTTTCCAACGGTGGGTGGAAAAAACAGGCAGGCAAGCACAGCAAGCCCAGCAGATTCTCACAGAGAATCTCTGCAGTAGAAACTGAGGTGTGGTGTGGGGAGGGGAGGTAGCATGGCCAGCAGCAGGACCACTGCGATGTGCCCATCACAACCAGTGCCACTTTGGCCGTGCCAAGCCAACAGGACCAAGAGATCAGATCAGAGAATCTGAGAAACTTTGAAATAAGGCGGGACATTTCTGCAAGGAGGACAACAGAACCAGTGCAATCTACTAGTGTCCATTCCAGCAGCACAACCTAGTGCCAGCCAACCTACTAGTGCCCAGCAACAGCAGAAGCCAGCTCTACAGGTCTGATGTCAAGCACGCAGGATCACAAATAGCAAGGGGGGGAGGGGGTTTGCAGTGTTCCCTCTAAGCTGAGTTAGTGTAAGCTGGTTCACAGTTTTTTAGCCTCCAGCTCACACATTTTTGTCTTAGGAAGGAGGGCTCCAGAGCAAACGGATATATGCAGTAGCTGAATTGCCGCCTCACAACTTTAATGCCAGCAGCTCACAATGCAGAATTTTTGCTCACAAGACTCCACAGCTTAGAGGGAGCATTAGTTGCAGGACAGCAGAACCCACTGCAACCTGTTTGTGTCGAGCGGCAGAAACCAGTGTCAGTGTGGCAGTGCCCCAAACCCAACAGGACTAAGGTCAAATCTGAGAATCTCTGAAGTAAGGCAGGATATTTCTGCAGGAAGTACGGGACCACAGAATCCGTGTAAATCGCTGCTGCCCAGCAGCAGAACCCAGTACAACCTGCTAGTGCCCAGCAGTAGAAGCCAGCACCTCAACTGTCTATCACAGTCTATCAACAGTCTATCAACGAATCACAATCCAAGCAAGGGGCCCAGGGGTTACAGGGACAGCAGAATCAGTGCAAACAAAAGTGCCCCGCAGCACAACCCCGTCCAATGCAGCAGCAGTAACAAGTTCCAAGAACTCTTGGAAAACTTATAATTTCCCAAGGGAAGGCCACAGAAAGTGAGGAGGAGGGGGTTGTGTTTGTCAACCCTGATCCTCCCCTCCCCCCCAGCAACAGCACACCAAGCCAATGATATCCGTCCCTCAGTGGAGGAGCCTCCCTTAGTCTAGGTGCTGCCGGAGCCCCTCACAGGCTCTCCCTTTCCCACCTCCTCCGAACCCCTGAAAAGAAGAAGGTTTAGCTTAGCAAGTTAATGCATAGTGTTCCTTTGGTTTCTGCTGGGTTGTGTATGGCCCTTGCCTATCTATCTCACAGAGAGCCAGTTTGGTGGAGTGGTTAAGTGCGCAGACTCTAAGCTGGGAGGACCAGGTTTGATTCCCCGCTCCTCCACTTGCACCTGGCTGGATGACCTTGGGCAAGCCGTAGCTCTGATAAGCGCTGTCCTTAAAAAAGAGCCATTTCTGTCAAGAGCTCTCTCAGCCCCGCCTACCTCACAGGGTGTCTGTTGTGGGGAGGGGAAGGGGAAGGAAAAGGAGTTTGTAAGCCGCTCTGAGACACCTTTGGGTAGTGAAGGGCGGGGTATAAATTCAATCTCTTCTCTTTAAGAGCCAGTTTGGTGTAGTGGTTACATGCGCGGACTCTAATCTGGGTGAACCGGGTTTGATTCCCCACTCCTCCACTTGCACCTGGCTGGCTGGCCTTGGGCAAGCCATAGTTCTGATAAGAGCCATTCTTGAAAAAAGAGCAGTTCCTGTCAAGAGCTCTCTCAGCCCCACCTACCTCACCAGGTGTCTGTTGCGGGGAGGGGGCGGGGAAGGAGTTCGTAAGCCGCTCTGAGACACCTTTGGGTAGTGAAGGGCGGGGTATAAATCCAATCTCCTCTTCTTCTCCCTCAAGAACTGGTTTTATGATGCTGTTTTAATTTCAGCAGGCAATTTTGGTTTGGGGTGGTGGGGACAGCAGGCTGGTGTGGCCAGTGAACAGCACATCGCCTTGTGCTTGCTGCTCACTCACCCACCCTGCCCAAGGGAAACACAGAAGGCCCTGTCTCACCAAAGGCAAAGAAGTTCTACCAGAGAGAACTCTTTCAACCCTGTACTACCAAAAACCCCAAACCAGAACACAACCAGAGGAAAAGAAACCAGCAAACGCCTGAGCACAGCAAAATAGGCCTCTCTGGCTTGGCCGCCGTCACCACCCCCCAAGCCCCTCACTCACCAAGGGCAAAGAAGTTCTGCCAGAGAAAACTCTCTCGACCCTGTAGTACTGCCAAAAAACCCAAACCAGAACCTAACTAGAGGGGGGGAAAACAGCAAATACCCTTCCAGGCTTTACCCCCCACCCCCTAAACAC